CACCACCGCCACCACCACCACCACAACCCACCACCGCCACCACAACCACTACCACCACCACCACCACCACGACAAAACGCCACACCACCACCGCCACCGCCACCACAACTTGAACTCACCACCGCCACAACTACCACCACCACCACCAGGAACCACCGTACCAGCACCACCACCACCGACACCATCACCACCACCGCCACAACCTGCCACAACGACCACAACAGCCACCACCACCACCAACCACCACCACCACCACCGCCACAACCGCCACCACCACCACCAGCACAGCCCACTACCACCACCACCACCTCAGAGAGGCCCCAAGAGACGCCCAGGATGCTGCACAAATGCCCTTCAGAGGCCCCCGAGGGCCCTCTGACGAGACCCCAAGAGGCATCCATTAGGAGTGGCCCAAAAACAAGGCACGGTGGCGGAGTGTCGTCGTCGTCGTCGTCGTCGTCGTCGTCGTCGTCGTCGTCGTCGTCGTCGTCGTCGTCGTCGTCATCGCGGTCGCCGTCGTCCTCGTCGACGCTCCCCGCCGCCGCCACCCGCCGCCGCAGGCGCCGGCGCCGGCCCAGAAAAAGGAAGTCGTCGTCCCCGCCGCCGCCGCGAGCCGCCACCGACGCAGGCGCCAGCCCGAGGAGAAGGAGAGAGGAGAATTCGGGGAGGAGGGGAGGGGGAGCGGGGAGGGGGTTCGACCCCCCCGCTTCCGTCACAGAATGGGGGGGGGATTCGACCCCCCCCTAGAGGTTGTATCTCAGTGCCCTGGAACATGACATTCTGTACTGGCTTCCCCTGTGGAATAGCAGGGTGCATGAGAAAAGAGAGTCTGGCCAATGGTAAGTAGCTGCCAACTCACATGACGAATGCATGCAATGTTGTTGGTTTTCAAAGCAAGGGGTGACTGAGCAGCGCTGTTGGGCAGTTCGCTGAATGGCAGCATGCGCTTACATTAACGCGGATGCGAACAAGACTCAGTCTGTGGGCGCCGCATCCAGTTACGGTGGAGGCGTTGGATGAGGAAACCTTACATAAGAAATCCAGGGTCTGGAAGCCATTAGAGTTCCAATTATGGATTGAGCATTGACCGTGGGTATCGCAACTCCCTTCACCAGGTAAGGAATCATCCAGGGTCTGAGCCATCCTGGGAACATTCTTCAACCAACGCCACCACCGTAATTCATTGGGAAGCCTTTCGATTTGTAAAAAATAAAGCAAGCACGCATGGACTCCTGGGGAACACATTGGAAGAGCTCACGGAACAGGCGACGGAAGCAGGCCGCTTGCGCGGGCGGAACATCGCCGCAGAAGCCGTTGGCCTCTTGCGCACAACTTCGGCGCTAGCAGCGGCAGGCCGCTTTCGCAGACGGGGCATCGCCGCAGCAGCCGCTGGCCTCCTGCGCAAAACTTTCGCGCTAGCAGGCAGGCGGCCGACGTCGACGCGCGGATCCGCGCGCGCTGCCAGGCGCAATTTTGGCGCAATCTTCGGCGGGTGCTGGGTGAAGGTGCGCAGCGCAGCCTGAAGCAGCTCGCGCTCCTGGCGGCGCTCGGTCAGAGGCAAAATCTTCCTGGCCCAACCTGCCAGAAGCTTGGCAAAGGTGCACATCGAACAAACTGCGCGCGCGTTGCGCTCTGTCTGATTTTTTTGTAAAAAATGCAGGAGCATGCCTTTACTTGCATATGGAATGTTTCGTTCCTCGTTGTTCCATACATCGCCTGAATGCCAGGGCTCCGCGCAATGAATCTACCCAGGTTCAGGAGGTACTCGAGCTGCGCGGGCGACGTTGCATGTCGCAAGGTTCCCAAGACAGCGGGTTTCTTGCCAGTCGTCTTGCCCATCTCCCGCGGGAGCATGTCGCACAGGGTGGCAATGTCCTTAACGTAGGAGACGGCGTTGCGGTGCGGTCGCTCGGGGTAGGCTTCGGCCTTGATCGCCGACATGGCTCTCGCCGCAGAAGCATCCGACAGCGAGTGCATCGCATCTTCCAGTGACTGCGAATCCGTTCGCCGCCGCTGCCCACGGTAGCAAGGCTTGCCATCGTCCAAGCCTTTCGAGAACTTCACGATGCACCGGCGGATGAGATTCGAGAGCGGAGGGCGGCGTCCTCCAACGGTATGGGCGCATTTGAACAGATCATGCGCACTTGCATCGCGCCGTCCGTGTTGCCGACCGCCGGACAGGAACGAAGCCAAGAAAGCATTGGTGCAGTGGCAATGCTTGCTGACTCGGTGGAACAGCCCTGCGCCCGCGCGTAAAATCAAACGAGGGCGATCGCCAGCATCGAGCAGGAGGACTGTGTCGATCGGAGTCAGTCCACCTCAGTTGATGTTTGACCTCGTCCTAATGTGGACACTCCTCACACCCGTTCCAAATGAACTCTGCGCTGCGCGAAAGCAGCGAGCTCGGCCCATGCCAATTTCCGCTCGTAGTCCAGAGGCTTGCAAAATGCAGGCAACTAGATAACTTGCACGATTGTCGCCAGAATGTAATCATCATCACCACCATCAAAGTTATGATGATGATGTTGATCATCGTCATCATGCCTGGAAATATAACGCGTCACAGGCTAGGACATCCGTGGTCCCTCGCACATGGACCACCGAGACAGCTGGGCGGGCGCGGTGGCGGGACTTGCCGCAGGCAGCTGGTTATGAGCGACGTGAACAGGGAGCCGGAGGAGGAGGAGGAGGAGAGAAAAGTGATGAGTACGAACGGTTTTTTTCTGCGAAGAGCCACCCGATGAAGCAAGCCTGACCTACCTGAATTTGTCTCACGCGGCGTGCCGCAGGCAGCCGTGAAACCCAGGACGGGAGAAGAGGAGGAGGAGGAGGAGGAGGACGGCGAGGGAGGCTGGGCAGCGTGATTGCCAAAATTGGCTATCACGTGCGCCATCCTCTTGACACGCTGGCAGGGCGAGGAGGAGAGAAAGGGGGAACGGCAGACGGGAAAACGGCGTTGTGAGCGCATCCCGATGGACCAAACAACCATTCATATACCAAGGCACGGCACAGCGTCGAACAAAATGATGCCGCCACAGAAGTATGTTTTTGCAATCCGCCGCACAAGGAATTTTTCTGATTTCAGCTACAAAAAAATGTTTCGCAATCCTCCACTGAAGCCCCAGAAGGCCCAGGGAGGTACCAGCCCCAAAAGAGAAAGGGGGTGAGGGAACTGGGCTGGAATTGCGGGAGAAGATTTCAATAGAATTCATTTTTTGTTGTGGATTTCAGTAGGATTTCTGTTGTAAAGGGTTTCAATAGGTCCTTCTGTAAAGGATTTCGATGGATTTCGTTTTGTCGAAGATTTCAATCAAATTCCTTTGTGTTTGGCTCAGGCGGAGGCGGGTGGGTGCCTGGCCGACGAAAAGGGCAACAGCAATACGAAAAAAACAGCAAAAACAATGTGGGGGACCAAAAACGCTGTGATTTTATTGTAACCAAGAAAATGCCCAAAACAAGGCAACCTGGAAGCGAAGAAATCCTGTGTTTTAGAACTGTTTGCACACATTGATTCCTATTGTGTGGTATTCAAATAAAACCATTTTTGTGGGGATCTACACATTGATTCCTATTGTGTAGGGGACAAATAAAAATCCTTTCGTGCATACTTACAAATAAATTCCTTGAGCCAGGCTCAAAAGGACTTTATGGGAATACCGCACAGTAGGAATCGATGTGTATATGCGCAAACACTGTAAAAACACAGGTTTTCTTTGCTACCAGGTTGCCTTGTTTGCTTCTTGAGTTTTCAATCGAAAACAAATTTACAATTAAAAACACAGCGCTTTGGGTCCCCCTAGTTGCCTCTTTTGTAGTTGTTTGCTTTTTGCCTTTTTCGTCGGCCGAGTTCACCCCCCCCTTCCATAACCAGGCACGAAGGAATTCTATGTGAAGGCCTCATCAGAAGAATAAATGCGTGTGGGGGGTCAGAAGGACTCCTTCTGTGGCCAATTACAAAAAAGATTCCTTTTGTGGAAGACTGCAAAAACCTCTCCGCGAGCGTTGTTCCAGGGCTCGGAGATACAACCCTTACAACGCCCCCCCCCCCGTCCATCCAGGGGGGAGGGGGGGGCGGTCCGGTTCCAACCCCCCCTCCTCCAAGCGACCACAGAAGGCGCTCTTTCTTAGGGCTGGACCATTGAGAATTGTGAGAATGACGACTTATGATTTTCATAAATTTCTCCTCGTCCTTCTTCCCAGACCCATTCGCGTCGCGCTAAAGGCGCAGCGGGACCGACCGAAAAGTTGTCATGCGACGCTCCTGGGAGCCTTCCGTTTTCGTTTAGTCTGGTTGTCCTGCACCCCCAGTGATCCTCAGTAGTTTTCCGGCGCCCCCAGGGGTTTTCAGTGACGTCCATCTTTGAAATTGCTCGCGCCTCTTTCCTTCCATCCTGTGTCGTTTCTGTCGTTTGATGGCCAGCGGCGCCGCGGGCGGGGCCTCAACGCCCTTCTTGTTCTGAAGGCAGCTGGGGGCCACTGGGGGGCCACTGGAGGCCATGGGAGGAGCCGTTGAAAGCCACAAGAGGCTCACTGGACCCACTAGGCCCACTGAGGGCCACTGGAGGTCATTGGGGGCCACTGAGGGCCATTGGAGGAGCCACCGAAAAAGCTCGCTGGAGGCTTGCGGGAGACCGCTGGAGGCTACCAGGGAATTGGAGCAGCAGCTGCGGCCACTCAGGTGCTTACGAAAGGCTCCCAGGAGCGTTCTCGGCTCCCCTGCGGGAGGGGGCAAAATATCTCCAGGGGCCCACGCTACGAAAACAAAAATCACGGCGTCCGGGGTCTGGGTTCGAAACTGCAGGTCCGGCCCGCGTTTCTTTACGCAGTATCCGCGGAATCGCATATCGAAGTAAGCACTCCCTTCGTCCCTCGAGGCCAAGTGGGCTGTGGGAGCTTGACTTGTGCGTATGCGTATGGCGGACGACGGCTCCTTCATTCCTCGTTCCATTCTGCTTGGCGTCGTTCCTCCTCCTCGTCCTCGCCCTCCGATGGCAACTCAGGCCAAGCACGTCCGGCCCGTGCAGGGGACCACGTATGAGAGGAAGACGAAGGGCTTGAGTAGCGAGGCGCAGCAGGACTGCATCATCATGCGCATCATCAGCACCATCATCATTGATAGTATCACCATCACCACTGTCGTCGTCGATCTCAGCATCTGCATCCTCCTCCCCATCATCCCCACCAGCATCATCATCATCACCATCATCATCAGAAGTAGCATCATCATCATCATCATCATCATCATCATCATCATCATCATCACAATCACCACCCTCAGCATCATCATCATCATCATCATCATCATCATCAACAACATCATCATCGCCATCAGCATCAGCATCATCAAGCCTTTTCGATCGCGGAGTGGCTTTCTTCGTTCACGTGCACTGCCCCCTGCTGCTTGAGATGGTGGCCTGTGCTCGGCTATTGTGGCTCAGGCGGCAATCGGACCTTCGGTCCATCCACATCCTTGTCTCCCAGGCTGCTGACGCGAAGACGGTGAAACCCAAGTTCATCGTTGGCTCAGCGCTCACAGGGCGGCCCAGTCGTGCACATCAGGGTGCGGCCAGCGTCTTCATAGATGCCATCGTGGATTCCCTCAACGCGTTCATCTCCGTGGACCGAGGACATTGGCACAGATGGTACTTGTGTTGTTCAGCTGTGGACGGCCATCGATGCTGGTGGTCGAAGCGGTGGTGATCAACCTCGTGGTGATCGTTCCCTGGATGGTCGTGCTCCAGACGATGGTGACGCTAATGGTGGAGCCAGCCCTTACCCACAAGCAACTTGCAAAGGCGCTCGGACCACTGCAGGTGCCCCGTCTCTGGGGACGCCATCTCTGACGCAGAGATCGAGGCCGAGCGCATCGCTGGTCGATGGAGCCCTCTGTGTGCCAGCGGTCTCACTGGGTCATATCTTGGGCATGTCCTCCCCTCTTGCCTCTGAAACTGAAGAGGCTTTGCGCTCGGCTGGCACCTCCATAGGGTAGCTCAGCGCTCAGGTAGTACGGCGGCGCGGAGGACCAGGACTTCCCTCCTCCCGCTGCTGCTGCTGCTGCTGGCCCGCCTCCCCCCTTTGGTCGCGTGCGCTCCCGTCTTGCCTCTGCCCCCGCTGCTCCCCCGCCCGCTCTTGGGCTCCTCGCTTGACTTGCTGGCATCTGCTCCACTCTTGGGGCCCGCTCCCCGCCCGGGGGGGCGGCCTCTCTCGTGCCCACGGAGTGGGCTGATATGCAATAATCACGCTGTGGACGGTGATTCATCAAGTGGAAGCCTGGCGGGCGGGGAAACGTTACGGAACATCACCATCATCACCATCACCATCATCTTCATCATCAACATCATCAGCAGCAGCATCAGATGCATCGTCATCTTCTTCATCACCACCATCACCACCACCATCATCACCAGTACCACCATCATCGTCATCTTCAGCATCACCACCATCACCATCACCGTCCTCAGACAGCCCGCCGACTCGGTGGGTACATGAGCACTCACCTACAGGTGCAAGGGGCCAACCCCACTGTCATCCATTGAGTTTGGGGTTGGCTGAGGTGCACCAGCACACGGGCGGCTCCAATCGCCCATAGGCCGCGCGATGGCGCAGCTGATGTGGAGGAGTGGGAGGCCCCATGGTGCCCTGTGGCTGCGACACGTGTGCCGCGAAGAGAAGGGGAAAGCATGTCCCCGCTTTGGGCATGATGCCACGCGTACGACAGCTGAGGCAGTAGCGGCTTAGAATATGGGTCGGAGCATGGCGCATGGTTGTGAGGTCGCACCGTTGGGTTGGCCGTTCTGCATACGACTACACCGCTGCGGAGCAGTACGGCCAGCGCGAGAGGGCGCGACGACAGTGAGCGCGTTGCTACTGTATCCCGTCACCATTCGTACTTGGAATCGGTGTTGGCCGTTTGAGAATTAATGGCACCCATCATCTACAGCATTTTCAGCATCCTCACCATCCCCCCCGTTGCCCCAACCAGGAGCATCCAGGTAGTACGCCTCACTCCGTCGCGTTCGCTGCGTATCCCCATCATGCCGCCCCGCCCGCTCGGTACCGTGATTGCGTTGTTTAGCTGTGGTGTCCCTCGCTCTCGCTCTCTCTCTCTCTCTGTCTCCTCTCTCTCTCTGTCTCCCTCTCGTTTTTGTTTTCTCTCTCTCGTTCTCAATGTACATGTATGTGTGTATCGTATGTCTCCCTCTCTCTCTATATCTGTTGTTCGCTCTCTCTCTCTCTCAGTCTCTCTCTCTCTCTCTCTCTATCGCCCTTTTGTTATTGTTTTCTCTCTCTACATATATATATATGTGTGTATCTCTCTCCCCCCACTTCTACAAGGTAGATGTATCGATGTACGTATGTATCGGTATGTGTGTTTGTAAACAGATATATGTGTGTGCGCGCCCCTTCCTCAATGTGTTGTGTCGCTCTGTCCCCTGATCTCTCTGTCCCCTCCTCGTGCGACGCCTACGGCGAGCCACCGCCCCCTGAATGCTCGAAGCGCCTATGTCGCCGAACGTTGCGGCCAGACTTCGGCCACTGTCGGAAGATGCGTTCCCCCCAGCCTTTGTGGAAACCCTTCAGGGCACAAGAGGGGAGAACAACAGAGAGGAGGAGAGGGATGAACACCGAGGAGGAGGAGGAGGAGGGGGAGGAGGAGGAGGAGGAGGAGGAGGAGGAAGAGGCAGAGGAGGATCTAAGGTGAGTGTCGTGATCCTACTAAGGCGAGTGCCGTCACACCTGGCGGCCGTCTACTCTCATTCAGAAATTTCTCCTGTGCTCGTGCCACCACGTTATCCGCGGCGCCCGCCAGGTGTCCTTAACCCGAGTCGTGCTTCACGTTCTTTGCTTCTGCCATCCCAAACGCCACAGATTCACGCTCTGGTTGGCCTAACGTAAAAGGGAGGAAGCGGAGGAGGGGGAGAAGGGGGAGGAGGAGGAGGAGGAGGAGGAGGAGGAGGAGGAGGGAGGGGTCGCTTGGGAGCCTCTCGGGGTACTCATTGGGCTTTTTGGGCGCTTCCTGAGGGCCTCTTGAAGGCCTCTTGGGGGCGTCCTTGGGCCTCTTAGAGGCCTTTGGTGGCTCATTGGGAGGGACCCTCTTGGAGCATTTCAGGGCCGTATTGGAGGCCATCTTGGGCGTGTGGGACGTGTCCTGGGCCGTCTGGGGGCCCTCTTGGGGCCGTTTTGGCCTCTTGAGCCGTCAGCGGGCCATCTCTGAGGCCTCTTGGGCATTCTCGGGGCCGTCGTGTTTGTCCCTGCGGCCATGGTGAGCTGACGGGAAGCCGGCAATGAGCAAACTCCAGAACCATTCATACTCCGTTGAAAATCAATGAATGTGGCCTCGTCGGCCCTTCGTGGAGGACCTCTTGGAGGTGTCTCGGTGGTCTCTTGGGCCTTCCTGGGCCATCTTGGGGCCAACTCAGGCTCTTGGCTGCATCTTGGGCAGTCTGGGAGGCACCTTGTGGCTATCTTGGGCTCTTTGGGGGCCATCTTGGCCCTCTTGAGGCCATTTTGAGCGTACGGGAGGCTTCTTCGGCTGTCTGTGGGACAGTCTTGGGGCCGTCTTGGGAGCCTCTTGGGCTGTCAGGGGGCCATCCTGGAGGCCACTTGGGTGATTTTGGAGCGATCCTGGATACCTCTTGGGCAGTCGGAAGTCTGAAAAAGAACAGACGCCCAAATGCATCAAACACTCAAGGACAATACATCATTCTGGCTTCTTCGGGCCCTCCTGGAAGACCTCCTGGAGGCCTCTTGGGCCGTTTTCTGGCACTCTTGGGGGCATCTTAGGGGCCTCTTGGCCGAGCTGGAGGCAAACTCTTGCCGTCTTGGCTGCATCCGGGCCGTTTTGGAGGCATCTTGTGGCTATGTTGGGTTATCTTGGAGGCCATCTTGGGCGTCTTGGAGGCCATCTTGGGCGTCTTTGGAGCCGCTTGGGACCGTCTTGAGGCAGTTGTGGGAGCCTCTTGCGCAGTCATGGGGCCATTCCGGAGGCCTCTCGAGCGCTCTTGCGACGATCATGGGGGCCTATTGGGCCGTCTAGGACCGTCGGAAGACCGACAAGTACAAATGCCAAAATGATTCAAAAACGTGCGGAAATCAATGATGTTGGCCTCTTACGGCCTTCTTGAAACACCTTTTGGGGGCCTCTTGAGCGTTTCTTGGGCCGTCTTGGGTCATCTTGGGGCCATCTTGGACCTTCTTGGGTTCATCTTGGACCATCTTGGGCTCTCTGGTGGCCGTCTTGGCCGTCTTTGAGGCCATGTTGAGCCATCTGGGCCGTCCTGGAGGCATCTTGAAGTTCATATTGGGCCATTTTGACCGTCTTGGAGGCGATGTGGCCGGCGGGCTGGGCCGAGGTACCACTGGGAATTCTTTTTCAAAGAACCAAAAACTGGCCAGACGTTTTGCACGCCGTGCACCCCTGTGGCAAGCCTACATGGGGGCGGCGGATCGAAGACGCCTACGGCGAGTCACCGCCGCCCCCTGCCTTCTGGAATTGCCAATGTGGCCGAACGTTTGGGCCAGGGCTCTGCCAAGCTATCGGACCATGTGTTCCCCCAGCCGTTGTCGAAACCCTTCGGAAAACACTTAGGGGAGGATGGCGGGGAAGAGGAGGAGGAGGAGTAGGGGGAGGAGGAGGAGGAGGAGGAGGAGGAGGAGGAGGAGGAGGAGGAGGAGGAGGAGGAGGCGAGGCCATCTCGGGAGCCTCAGGGGGCACTTTTGACCGGGGGCCTCTTAGAAGCATCTTGGAGGCCTTTGGGGGCCTCTTGGGGGCTTCTTGCGGCCTCTTTGGCCGTCTTCAGGTGTTCCTGACCCGTCTGACGCCGTCAGACGCCGTATTGGGGACCTCTGAACCGACTTGGGCCATCCTGGGCGTATTGGAGGCCTCTTGGGCTGGCCAGGGGCCCTCTTGGGGCAACCTTGGGGGCCTCTCGGGCGATCTTGAAGTGATCTTGGGGGTCTCGGGCCGTCGGAAGGGCGAAAAGAAAAAAATGCCACAATCCTTCAAAACCTGAGGAACATCCATGAGTTGTGCGTGTGCACGCCTTCCTGGAGGCCCTCTTGGGGGCCTCTTGGG